ACGTTCCAAAACACAGGAGAGCCGCCATCAGCATATCTCCAACGTCTTCAAGTCGCTTTGAGTCAAGCTGTTAAAAGAGGAGGAGTCTCGGGGAATGATGTCAATAGGCACCTGCTCACACAATTTTGCAGAGGTTGCTGGAATGATACTTTGATATCTGAACTGCAATTGAAACAGAAGAAGGCAAACCCTCCATCGTTTGCTGAGTTGTTGTTACTGCTGAGGACTGAAGAGGATCGAGAAGCTGCAAAGAGCATGCGCATGAAACAACATCTGGGTACAGCAAAGCAGAGGGTGTCTTCCCAGGCGCATTTTGTCTCTACTGACAATGAAGAAAAAGGAGCTGTGGCCGCATTAACCACTCTGACGCAGCAGCTAGCGCAACAAGTGGCTGATATACAAAAGCAGCTCTCACTTCTCACTGCTGGCCAACGCAATAATCCATCTGCATCCGCTCACGCTCAGTCCTCCGGTCGACTCAAGCCAATCAAACCAAGAGCCGGCTATTGTTTTCGTTGCGGGGAGGATGGCCACATCAGACCTCAGTGCAATAATGAGCCCAACTCCGCTCTGGTCGCATTGAAGAGAAAAGAGTACAGTAAAGTAACGCAAGGTAAATCAAACTTTCACCGTGGCAGAGATTTAAACTAAGTTCAGTTCCTGTTGCGGGGCAAACAGGGGCTGAGGCGGACCAACAATGTCCCACAAAGTCATTCTGCCGTGTCAAAATCATGCAGTCCACCACCTCCATGCAGTCAAAATCTTACCTTCCACGAGGGTTGGTGGGGTCGAAATGTACAGCTGTAGTTTCTATTGCTGGCCATGAGTTTTCTTGTCTACTCAATACGGGATCGCAAGTAACCACTCTGCCAATCTCGTTTTATAATCAACATCTGGCTGAACAACCTGTAAAACCCCTCAATGACTTATTACAAGTTGAGGGTGCAGCGGGCCAAGCCGTTCCCTACTTGGGATACGTGGAAGTTGCTGTAACATTCCCAAAGGAGTTTTTGGGATCCGAGGTTACTGTTCCCACCCTTGCCCTAGTAGTGCCAGATGTCAGTTTTTCATCCCTGTTAATTGGGATGAATACACTTGAACCATTGTACAACCAATATATTCAAGCTGACTCTTCCACTTTTCAGCCATCACTGCAAGGTTACAAAGCAGTGTTAAAACTATTGGCTCTGAAGCACCAACAGAGTCAAGATGGCTGTGTGGGAGTGGTGAGATTGACTAGCAAAGCTCCAATTACTGTTCCCGCTGGCCATACCGCTGCTATTGACGGTTTTGCTGATCTCAAAACCCAGTTAACTGCACAGTATGCAATTGTTGAGCATCCTAGTTCATCCTTACCCGGTGGACTATGCATTCAAAGTTGTCTAATCTCACTGCCACGCTATGCTCCCTACAAGGTCCCTGTTGTTGTAAAAAATGAGTCTGAGCACGAGGTACTGATTCCGTCCTCAACTGTGATTGCAGATATTGGAGAGCCTGCCCACATTTTAACCCAGCAGGTAAACTCTCATTCAGTCACCCCTTCTGATCCAGAAATCAAGTTTAATTTTGGAGATTCACCATTATCTTCTGAGTGGAGAGAGCGCATCACTTCCAAACTGAGTGATATGCCAGAGGTGTTCTCACAGCATGAATTAGACTTTGGTTGTACCGACAAGGTCCGACACCAGATCAAGTTGAGTGATGAGACTCCTTTCAAACATCGTCCTCGACCAATCCATCCACAGGACATCGAAGCCGTCCGTAAGCATCTCCGTGATCTTCTTGAATCCGGGGTAATCGGAGAATCCCAGTCACCTTTTGCTTCTCCGATTGTCGTTGTCCGGAAGAAGAATGGGGATGTTCGTCTGTGCATAGATTATCGAAAACTTAATCTACAGACTGTGAAAGATGCATATGCAATTCCCAATCTGGAGGAATCTTTCTCAGCTTTGACGGGATCCAAGTGGTTCAGCGTTCTGGATCTGAAATCCGGATATTATCAGATCGCCATGCAAGAAGAGGACAAATCCAAAACCGCGTTTGTCACTCCCTTAGGCTTTTGGGAATTCAATAGAATGCCGCAGGGTGTTACAAATGCACCAGGAACTTTTCAGCGGTTGATGGAAAAATGTATGGGCGATTTGCATCTGAAGGAAGCTCTTGTCTTTCTGGATGACATAATCATCTTTTCTGACACTTTGGAAGAGCATGAGCGGAGGTTGTTGCGAGTCCTTGGTCGACTGAAGAGCTATGGCCTGAAGCTTTCACCAGAGAAATGCCGTTTCTGCCAGAAGTCTGTCAAGTACCTTGGTCACGTGGTTTCTGAGCGAGGGGTGGAGACCGATCCAGCGAAGATTGAAGCCCTTAAAACCTGGCCAGTTCCGACAAATCTTAAAGAGCTGAGGTCTTTCCTGGGGTTCTCCGGATACTATCGTCGGTTCATAAAAGACTATTCCACACTCACCAAGCCACTTAACGATCTTACCAAAGGCTACCCACCAGCACGGCGGTCGACCAGGGTGAAGAAGGGCCAACCTCAATATCTCGACACGAAGCAATCATTCGGTGCTCGATGGACACTTGAGTGTGAAAAGGCATTCGAGTTGCTGATTGACAAATTGACAACATCCCCTGTTCTTGGATTTGCAAATCCAAAGCAGCCATACATTTTGCATACAGACGCCAGCACAACAGGGCTCGGCGCAGCGCTGTACCAAGAACAGGAGGGTCAATTGCGTGTCATTGCTTATGCCAGCCGAGGGTTGTCTATCAGTGAGTCCCGATACCCAGCCCATAAGCTTGAGTTTTTGGCACTAAAGTGGAGCGTGACCGACAAGTTTCACGACTACTTGTACGGAGCGAACTTTACAGTGGTAACCGACAGTAACCCACTGACGTACATACTCACCTCCGCAAAGTTAGATGCCACGAGCCACAGGTGGCTTGCAGCTCTTTCAACTTATTCCTTCAAGCTCCAATATCGTGCCGGTCGCCAGAACTTTGACGCTGATGCTTTATCCAGACGTCCTCATCAATCCAGTCCTGAAGATTGTCTCTCCTTCAAAGAGCAAAATCTCATTCAGCAGTTTCTAAGGGACCGTATTTGTGACCCTGGTGAGGGAGAGGAGCTTTCTTCCAACATTGTGAGTGCCATATGCACAAGTTCACTGGAAAATGGATCTTCCGTTACTCTTGCCGAATCTCTTTCCATGCATGTCAAGGGTATTCCTGACAACTACTTCTCTGATGAACAACACGGACTCCCCGATCTTCCAGCACTCTCTCCATCCGAACTGAGAGCCCAGCAACTTGCAGATCCTGCTATCTATGAAGTTGTACATCAGCTGGAGACGGGTGATAAAGTGGTCCCTGCGATCAGGAAAGAACTCCCTGAACTCCCTTTGCTATTGAGAGAGTTGAACAAACTGGAGTTGAGAGATGGAATCCTCTATAGGAAGCGGCATGAGGACGCAAACTCTACTTTTCAGCTTGTTCTACCACCTGAGTTGCGTCCAGTGGTCCTCACAAGCCTTCACAACAACATGGGCCATATGGGGATCGAGAGAACGCTTGACTTGGTGCGTCAGCGGTTCTTCTGGCCAAGAATGTCTTCTGATGTGGAGAAGAAGATCCATACTTGTGATCGGTGTGTGAGACGGAAGGCCATGCCCGAACGTGCTGCTCCGTTGGTCAACATCACCACAACTCGACCTCTAGAGCTTTTGTGTATGGATTTCTTGTCTCTTGAGCCTGACAGCAGTAACACAAAAGACATTCTGGTGCTAACAGACCATTTTACAAAATTCTCTGTTGCGCTCCCCACGCCAAATCAGAAGGCAAAGACCGTTGCCAGATGTTTGCTCAATGATTTCATTGTCAATTTTGGTATCCCCGAGCGACTACATACAGACCAGGGGCCTGACTTTGAATCCAAGTTGATCCAAGAGCTCTGTTTGGCAACTGGAATGAGGAAAACTCATACCACCCCTTATCATCCCAGAGGTAACCCGGTGGAACGGTTCAACCGGACTCTGTTGAGCATGTTGGGTACCCTGGAGCGCAAACAGAAAAGTAAATGGCGTGAATACGTGAAACCGCTTGTACATGCGTACAATTGTACACGCAACGAGGTTACTGGCTTCACACCATATGAACTTCTTTTTGGAAGGACTCCTCGTCTGCCAGTTGATCTAGCATTTGGCTTGCCAGTTCGAGAGACGCCAACTCCAACACACACTCAGTATGTCAAAGATCTGCGATCCCGTCTGGAAGAATGTTATCAAGTTGCTTCCAAAAATGCACTTAAGTCTGCCGAAAGGAACAAGACACGGTTTGATCAACGAGTGACGCCATGCAAGTTGGAGGTTGGAGACAGAGTCCTTGTCCGAAATGTAAGGTTACGAGGAAAACATAAGCTTGAAGACAAATGGGAAGCCGACGTCTATGTTGTTGTTCGATGTGCCGGAGATCTGCCTGTTTATACAGTTAGGCCAGAAGCTCGTGAAGGTCCAACTCGCACGCTACATCGTAACTTGCTTCTTCCGTGTGGATTTCTGCCAGCCAGTTCTGCAACACAGAGATCCAAACCTTCTCCTCCTCGTAGACCACAAACTCGGAGTCAACCTACAGCTGAACCTGATACAACTTACCTGTCTGCGGAAGAAGATGTTCCTTGGGTTGTTCAGCCTCGTTCATTCCAACTACCTGTTGAGATCCATGCCTCCAGTCACGATGATTAACTACCTGCTGACACGCATCCTGTTGTGACCCTAACAGAGGTTCAATCTGAAACAGACGCCGTGATTATACCGGACTCAGGTACTGCTGCTGCAGTGGATAGCACACCAGTTTCACCTTCTACTCTCCATTCTGAATCTGATGTTGATGAGGTCCCTGCTGGGGAAGAAGAGAATGGGCTTGAAGATGATGTTTCCGGAGGAAATGAAATACAGGACACTGTTCCTATGGAGGATCTACCCCCCCAAGTGGAACTTGTGCTGGAGTCCATTCCATCTGAGCCTTCTGTCCCAAGTGCCCCGACAAGTCCGGAAGTCACTGAAATGGCCAACAATGTACCTAGACGTTCTAGTCGTGATAGACGCCCACCAAATCGTCTTCAGTACTCCCTTTTAGGAAATCCTGTCATTTCAGTTGTTCAGAGTCTCTTTCATAGCCTTTCTGATATTTACACTGAGACTTTAGAGAGAGCATCTAGAGCAGATATTCTCTAGCTCAGGAAATAGATTAACACAAACTTCGTATGCGACGAGACGCGCATGATCTTAAGCGGGGGAGGGTGTAACCCATATTAAAATTCTGGTTGCCTCCCACTGTATTATTTTCATTCCTACCGCTCCTCGTTACCATAGTAACGCTAGTCTCGCGATACTCCGCAGGGCAGTCTCGAACGCAACTTCCAGTAGTCATAATCAGAGTTACTGCGGCTCCACCGGTAACTGGGTGGGATGCCAGACTGAGTTGGCTGCAGGTAGATGCGTATGATCATGTCTCGTTTGTCATTCATGTACTCATACCTTGTGTTCCTCAATCAGATGCCTCTGTCCTTACTGAGCACATTGTGTGTTTGTGTGCTCTGTATTCTGCAAGGAACCGGTGAGTCATGTTAACCGGCAGCTAGCCGATGCTAATATTTTTATACTCACTGTGATAAACTGTGTGCTCAGATTGCCTTTGATAGTTTTTAAGTTAGCGACCTTAAAGTATATATTGTGTCCGATCAGTCACGCAAATATAACACAGATAGCTGCAGTATTACGTGTTTAATCATGTATGTTAATGGCGCTAGCAACAGCGGCGGCGCTAGAAGCAGTAGCGGTGCTAGCGGCGGCCATCTTGTGTATGTCATCCATGGGATTGTATTGATAATATGTGTATTCACTGTAGTCTGTTGCATATTAAGATATTATGATGTGTATTTAATGACAATGTGTTTACATTATGAAATGGTACCACTGATATTTTAGAGTTGAACTATTGTAATTATTACCAGGACAATGGACTAAAACACTGGTTTGCTTCACACAGGCCAGGTCCTCAATACTTTCTGGGCTTCAGGAGAGTACATCTTTATTTGATTCTGCGAATGTGGTAGGGGGCTCTGCAGCCACATAACTCACCCACTCACTTCCAACGCTTTTGGGGACAATATTCATACTCTGGACTAATTATTCAAACGAACTATCTCTGCTGCTTTCACACATGGACAATAACCCATCGCGTTGTGGATTACACTCTTGAGTTAGAGTTCTGGACTGTGGACCATACCTTATTCCGATCAACTACCAACAGTGCACTTTGTACATATTGTATATATTTCTGTATATTGTTTCACATGTACATATCATTCAGCGCAATACAAAACCCATAATCGTACCCCTCGTATATGTCTTTTATTAAGCATTGTCTCACTTTCCTCCGAGCCGAATCAGTTCTTCTTAGTTTATATTAATTGTTCTTCTCTAATCACGTGACGTACATGTTACAAGAGTAGTCTCTAGAGTAGTCTTTAGTCTCCCAGACTAAAAAGTCAAAGTTTCTGTCTGCCAGACTGAACCCTTAACATTTTATTGCATTTGTTCATAGTTGTGGTTCTAATTGTAACAATTGCATTGGTAATAGACGATTTTTCATTGGCTGGTTCTTGTTCTGCAAATCACTATTCTATGTATTGTATTTCAGACAATTCCAAGAACAACACAGTCGCTCTCCAATATTAAAGACATACATCTAAATCAAGTTGCCTGAAAGGGATTTTAACTATTTTAAAACGTTCTCTACGATTATAAGGCTATGAAATTAATTATTTAATAAACAAAAGCACATTCCTGGCTTCTGTCCGCTGCTTATAACTGTTTAAAGAGTTGTCCCAAACTTAATATGTGTAAATACATCAGCTGTTTGTAATAAAACAATAACATTTAACCTGTTCTCCAATGGAGCAGCTCAGAGGCTGCGTCAAGAGCAATGTTATATTTGAGCTATTTTTAGATTTAAAATTGTGTTAAAGCCTGTCGTTCTATGTCTGCATTTTAATACTACTCTCTATAAACACATCTGCACTAGTTCCTACAGATGTGGAAAACAGAAACATCTAAAATCTGACTCCATTTGATTCCTTTTTACTTTAGTTATTAGAACAATTTGACCTTATTGATACTTATTTCCACAATAGAGCTATTTTGATTATTCCCTCCTGTGGACTCACCACCTGCAGGAGGATCAGTGAGGGGCTGGTGCTCTGTGGACTGGGTGCAGCTCTGACTGCCACCCCCCCCGACCCAGAAATGGCTTAAGGGGAAGAAAATGGATGGATGGTGGATGATTATTCACTAGTCTAACTATTATTACTATTGTTTATTCTGACACCTCTTCTTAGCAACCTTTCAACCTATAGCTCCTTGAATCCAATGACAATTATAGCTCCAGACTATTTCATTCTATTCTATGATCTATTATCTTAAAGAGTAGATCTGTTTGATGTTATAAGCGCTATTATTTCTCCTTTTGAACTTGCACAAACACTATATTTAGAATGACCCCCTATGGGACAAATACAGAATTTTATTCAATTTTGGCAACTCCGAAAATTACTTAATAATTTTCCCATTTTGCTTTTTTAGGCTGCCCTTTCTATTATTTATTTGTTCTTGTAAATATATGTTTTACACTTCTTTCTAATGATTTAGAAGTTTAAGGACCATGACCACCTATGACAATAACATTATATACTCCCTCTTTTTGGTCATGGGCCAAGTATAAAACATGCATCTGTGTGTGTGTAGATTACTGTTCCGTTCATCTCCAGTTGTTCCTCCCGGATCGTCCTCAATTCATATTGTGGGCTTTGGTGCCATAGTAGAGGCTCATTTCCTTATGATCCATACTACTGTCATCCCTGAAGCAGGTGCAGTTTATCTTTCATCTGAAAAAGAAACATTAGAACACACGAAAATGCCCACTTTCCCTCTCTTCGCATGGTGCGGCCTGTCAATCTTTTTCCAATTGGGGCAAAACATAACTGCATTGACAGACGGTGTGTGACATCAGGGCAGAGGCTGTAGCCAAATACAGACTTAACAAAATGTATGTTTCTATTTTATACTCCCCTAAATGTGAGTTACAAACCAAAGTTGTCCTTCGCCCAATGACCACTCACTGCGGTTGGACCGAATCACTGTCAGACAAACAGCAGAGGGAGGGACTCCCAGTAACTTCAGCAAGGTATTTCATCTCAGAGTACTTTCCGCAGAGTACTTTCCGCAGAGTACTTTTCTCAGAGTACTCATCCAGAGTACTCTCACTTTTACACCTGTTCAATAAAGCTTGTTATCTTTGAATCTCTAGTACTTACACCGTATGCTGTTGACGAAAAAATAATTATTCCATGATCACATTAAAACATTACAGAAAACTTTTGTTATTCCATGATTCCGTTCAGCACTCCTCGTCCACTCCACACTCACAACACACTCACACAGGCCGACTCCCCACGTTAGTATATAGGTCCAGAGTTTGTTAAGGTCAACGTAGTGTACTTGACATGACGCACAAACATATAGCACACACAAACATATAACACAGAAGGCTGTAATTTTTAACTTTGTTATATTTTCCATGTCCAATTACAATTGTCTCATGAGCTATTTCTAATTGTTGCAACTTTCAGAGCCTGCAGAACATGCAGAGCTTTGAGAGATTTTCCTTAAAAGGATCCATTTCAAACTTTAGTGTTTAACCACGTGTTTACTCGGGCTGTCTTCCTCCACAGACTGTGTCCCCTATATTTTAATGAGCTCTTGTTACTTAAAAAAGACTCATGCACGTGCAATAAATTTTTTCCTTTTTTTTTTTTAAAGAAGCCTAGTCACGGAGTCCTTTAAAAAATGTAAAATTAGTTTCAAAACTTTAATATACCTTTGTTTTCACAACGTTAAGTGGATAAAAGAACCATTGTCCTTGTGTACTTACCATTCATGTCTCAGATAAACTGCAACATTTATATCAAAGACATAATTTGGCCTAATTGTTTCTAATTTAGCTATTTGGAAGATATACATGTCAATAAAAGATTTCTAAAATGTCCCTACATCTGGTTTTCAACCAATTTTTCGTCAATGTGTTATCAGAAATAGATCCAAGTTTCACCTTAGCCAAAATTTAGAAATGCCTTTAAATCATTTTTTTCAAAATTTAATTGTCTGAACAAACCATTTTGTACTAAATGCAAGCGTCCATTAAAAGCTGCAGTTCTCTTTCTAGACACCCCAGATTTCGAACTGTGTCATCGTGACTGTTTTAAATAATATAACGAGCCAACGGTTCAAAGGTTGAAAAACACTTCTTAAATATCCGTATTACCAAGATCATGCAGTCAAAAATTCAATAATTCTAAACTTCTCCCGCGTCTATACTTTACATAATACTAGGTTCAATAATAGAGCTCCTCTACCTTAAAAAAGACTGCTGTTCTAATCTCCTATGTGTCATCATGCTAAAGCAAGATCTAAATGAATTCCAACGATGTCCTGTATTCTTGCATGCAGCAAAATGTGGTGTTATGAACGAAATGACCTAGCTAAATGTGTAAATATGACTTATTATGTCTCTGTGCGTTTGTTGCCAGGTCTGAGATTTACCTTCTGTGTGTCTCATTTAGGCCAGCCACGTCCTCAAATGTCGTTAATGTCTGCTTTTACTCATGCGTCTTTCGAATTTCCTTTTGTCGTCAAAGTGTCCTTTGTCTTTGTCTCAATTGTCCTTTTTCTTCTTCTTTAAACAATCACTTTCTTCTTCTTCTTTCAATAATCACTTTCTTTGCTCTTCTTCTTTCAATAATCACCCTTCTTTCTTCCTTCTTTCAATCGACTTCTTCTCCTTGCAATGTCTTTTTCTTTTCAATTATTTGTCTCTTCTTTCGACATGGACTTTTCTCATGTCCTTTCTTTGGTCTCATTTTTTGACCACACCAGCGTTTTTCCTTCTTCTTCTTGTTAGGTTTACAACAACGATCTTCTCCGTGCACAAAACCACTCGGTTTGTGCAAAAGTCTGGTTTTTCTCATGAAATGGAGGCCCGAGAAGGTCTTCTTCGAGAGTTCCTGTTTAGCTGCCTTCAGCCGATGCTGCAGTCCTTTGGAGCGCCCTCCTGTGGGTGAAACGGGTGAGACGCAGATGGTCCGTGTTGCTGATGGGCGCCCGATGAGGTCGTTGTGGCAGACGACGATTTGGCCCATATGAGACAGACAAGAAGTGTTCTCAGAAAAAACAGACAAACAAAGAAGCACAAACAAGTGTGTTAATTACCATGAGAACGAAACCAATGATTAATTACAATACAAAATATACCCTATGAAAGAATTAATATTAACATTTTAAACATTAAATTCTGATAAACCAAATTCTGCATTCAACTGCTATCTATGCCCTACTTTTCCAAAGTATAATGCTCTCTAATATCATTCTAACTTTTATTATCACAAAAATGTAGGGAAAAATAACTTTGTCCAGATAAAAAATAAAATAAAATAATGCCTCTTTATTATCAAACTCAAATCTTTGGATCTATTACTCCATGTCAGTAACATTATCGTGTGG